TATATATATATATAAATTTACTTTATTCACGTTTTTAATTTTCTCTACGTATACGACGAACTGTCAAAATCGCTTTTCTGTCATTATTTACTCTCTCGATCTTACTGATTCGATTCGACTCGACTTGATTTGATCAACCAACCAATCGGCAACGCGGAAAAAAGGCAACAATAGATGCGATAGATTCGACTCCGAAACGCGCACTTCGCGGTACACATGGATTTTTTTTATATAGGAGGATAAAATTTATTTATAGAATGTAACATATAAAATATATTTACAAACTCCTGACGTATATGAACAAAAAAAATAGATCATCTCGCGAAGGATATATATTATCCTTACTTTATAATTCTTCAAATTAAATATTTCTTTTTAAAAAAAAATTGTGTGCGAGTGAGAGTGAGGGAACTAACGATAACTGCGTCGTGCACGAAATTACGGTTAACTACCTTGACGGCGTGTCTGCTCGATCCGCTCAGAAATTACGATTATCAGACAGCACAAAGAGACACGTTTGATGCGTTTAACCAGAACACCCTCGAGCGATAACGCGAAATACCTCTAGACCGTTATCCTCGGGAAGCAATTAATTCACGCGAAGCGTTTGATCTAAGGTGCTGGTAAAAGAGTAAGCTTATATAGCGCGCCATTCTCTTCCCGGGGCGAAGATATTGTGCTCTAATTAGACGAAAGAATTTCATTCCTCGATCTAATTCCCATGGTGCGGCGCGCCATCGCCGTTCTTGAATAATCGTTAGCAGAACTTTTCGCGCTTTGCCGGATTATCATACTTTCCAGCAATAAGAACGGAATCCTCCTCCTTTCCACCCGCTCCGTCTTCGAGACGCGCGCCGCTTTACTTTCACGCGCGCGGAAGATCTCATTTTTCTCGACGATCATAAACGCGTCGTCTCTATATACATATAATCATGCTACTCGCACGCGCGCGCGCGCGCGCGAGCGTTGAATCTACTTCGCGAGTGAGGTATCATCGAGTTTGCGGCGTAATGCAAAAATTAAACCTCCCTCTTTGAAGACGGGACACTGAAAACCAAAGATAAAGTACAATGAAGTACGTAAGAGATTTTCAAAGACAATATTATGAATATATTAAAAAGTAGACGAGCACATCTATTTTCATTCTTACTTCAAAAAACGACAAAAGACGAAGACCACAAGATATGTATCACGTAAAGCAGTCGAGATACTTCATGAAAGAGTTTTTAAGAGGACGGAATGTTCTCCGCGAGAGGAAACTCGTGCGGGGTCGCCGCGCGTTTCTTTATCCTGCGAGACGTTCCGTGGCGATCGCACGCCGCAATCGCGAATTAAAGCAATTAAAATCGCTGATTAAAGCCCGACCGTCCAATGCCTCTCTCGAGTTTCGCCGTGCCGGCGAAAAGAAGAGGAAAGGGCTCCGCGCGTCTCTCCGTTTGATTCGCAGAAAGCGATCCGTCTTCATTACCGCCGCCACATCGTATATCCCGACAGTGATAATGGCAACGGAAATGCGCGAGCGGTCCAATCGTTTATGAAGATCACGGACAATAACGCTCTCCCCCTCGCTCACTAACTTTATTTTCTCGTTATCTCTTTTTCGTCCTTGCCGAATTACAATTTGCGTAACGTTTTCGTCGCGCGAACGCATCTTTGAAATGTACCGCTGATTAAATCGAATGGTTTTGATAAGAATTTCCGAAGATGATTTTCGGGTTTGAACCGCGTTTGTGTAACGACGTTTCGTAGACATTTCTCATGTACTGTGATACACAGTATCAAGCTGCTCTGGAAACTCTGATGAAGCGAACTCAAATGTCCGCGAAACGTCGGTGTATAGACACTAACGCAATTTCACTGACTCAAAACTCATGTTCAGAAATTCTTGCAACACGTCGCGAAAGTATCAAATATCGGGTTTTTGATAAATTTGAGATGCGAGAAAAAAAAAATGCGGTCCATCCGAACCTTGTGATCTCCT